TCTATTCCATATTTCTATTCTATTTCATATTTCTATTCTGTTCTATTTCATATTTCTATTCCATTCCATATTTCTGTTCTATTCTAATTCCATATTTCTGTTCTATTCTATTCCATATTTCTATTCTATTCCATATTTCTTTTCTATTCTATTCTATTCTATATTTCTATTCTGTTCTATTCCATATTTCTATTCTATTCCATTCCATATTTCTGTTCTATTCTAATTCCATATTTCTATTCTATTCCATATTTCTGTTCTATTCTATTCTATTCTATATTTCTATTCTATTCTAATTCCATATTTCTATTCTATTCCATATTTCTATTCTATTTCATATTTCTATTCTGTTCTATTTCATATTTCTATTCCATTCCATATTTCTGTTCTATTCTAATTCCATATTTCTGTTCTATTCTAATTCCATATTTCTGTTCTATTCTATTCCATATTTCTATTCTATTTTATTCTATTTCATATTTCTATTCTATTCTATTCTCATTCTATTCCATTCCATATTGGTCAGAGCCATAGCTGTAGAGTTTTATTAGAAGAGAGTCCAGGATTTTGCAGTATAAACCAGAAGTGGGCAGATTTGCTTATTTTTATATAATAACTTCCTTTGGACAAGGATGAGAACATGCCTTAGTTGAAAGTACAGTGGGCAGGTGTCTGGAAAAAGACAGCCATTGGTGCAAGAGAAAAGCCATTGGTGCAAGAGAAAAGCCATTGGTGCAAAAGGCCACCCAGGGCAGAAAAACAGAATTAGCTTCCTAGGAAAAAAAATTAATACTATTATCTGGAGTTTTTTTTTAACTCCTCTGGTCACTAGAGGAGAATCTGCAATGAAATGCAACTACAGGAAACAAAGAGGTTGTAAATCCTGGACTTACGACCACAACTGAGCCCCAAGTGCCACTGCTAAGCAAGACAGTCATTAAGTGAGGTTTACGTCCTTCCTTGCCAGGTTTGTTCAGTAAATCACTGCAATTACTACCGTGGTCATTGAGTGAATCTGGCATTGACGCTGCTTGTCAGACATTGGCAAAAGGGGATCAGAATGACACTGGGGCCCTGCAACTGTCATAAGTACAAGTCAGTTGGCAGCTGTTCGAATTTGGATCACATGACCTTGGAGAAATACTGCAATGTCATAAGTTCCTTTTTTTTTTTTCCAGCGCTGTTCTTAACTTCAAACAGTCCCTAAACAAACGATTGTAAGTCGAGAACTACACGTACAGAGAGTCCTCAACTTACAACAGCTCGTTTAGGGACTGTTTGAAGTTGCAGCGGCACCGAGAGATCCCTTCCAGATCTCTTCTGATTGACTTCTGTTTCTTTGTGATCGAAATTGTGGTAGAACGCAAAGCAGTGGCTGCAAACTGATTCTAAATCACTCGCTTTCAGGGAGTACTCGTCTTGCAGAGCGGGGAGTAACGTCACCCTGTAGCTACGTGTCTTTCGTGGCCACTGATGTCGATAACCCCATCACCACCCCAACAGTAGAAAACACAGATTCCCCTGTTTGGGAGTTTCAGCAGCAGACAAGGTAATTTCAATTTCACTGTACACATGTTGTGCATTGACAATAAATGTTTGTTTGATTGATTGATTGGTTGGTTGCATGTAAGACATCAGAAGTATTGTCACAAATATGCCAAAGACCTGTCCCAAAGGTGCTTTTTCAGGAAGCAACGGGACTTTTTCTTTTGAAGATGTTTTGCTTCTCCTAACAGGTAACAGATAATCAGAGTTGGAAGGGACCTTGGAGGTCATCTAGTCCAACCCCCCCACCCAAGCGGGAGACCCCACACCATTTCTGACAAATGGCAGTCCAGTCTCTTCTTGAAAGTCTCAAGTGATGGCGCTCCCACAACTTCCAAGGGCAACTTCTGTTCTATGGGTTGATTGTTCTCCCTGTCAGAAAGTTTCTCCTTATTTCCAGGTTGAAAAATCTCTCCTTGTTCAGTTTCCATCCGTTATTCCTTGTCTGGCCTTCGGGTGCCTTGGAAAATAGCTTGACCCCCCTCTCTCCTCTCTGTGGCAGCCCCTCAAATCTTGGAAGGCTGCTATCCTGTGTCCCTTGGTCCTTCTCCTCCCTAGACTAGCCAAGCCCAGTTCCTGCAACCGTTCATTGTATGTTTGAGCCTCCAGTCCCCTAATCATCCTGGTTGCTCTTCTCTGCCCTTTTTCTAGAGTCTCAACATCTTTTTTATAATGTGGTGACCAAAACTGGATGCAGTACTCTAGGTGTGGTCTTACTAAGGCTTTATAGGGTGGTATTAGTACTTCCCTTGATCTCGATTGTATCCCTCTGTTAATGCAACTTAGGATTGCATTGGCTTTTTTGGCTGCTGGCTCCTATTTAGCTGGTTGTCCACTAAGACTCCAAGATCCCTCTCCCAGTTCCTGCTATTGAGCCCGGTTTCACCCAGTCTATAGGTGCACTTTTGGTTTTTCTTGCCTAAGGGTAGGACTTTCCTTTTCTCTGCATTTTGTAAGATAGGGCCCAGGTTTCTTGTCTGTCGAGATCCATCTGGATCTTGAGCCTATCTTCTAGGGTGTTGGCTATTCCTGCCAGCTTAGTCTCATCTGCAAATTTGGTAAGTTCCCCTTCTATTCCCTCATCTAAATCGTTAATGAAGATATTGAAGAGTCCTGGCTGGGCCTAAGACGGAACCTTGTGGCCCCCCACTGCTGACTTCCCTCCATGTAGACTTGGACCCATTAGGAACTACTCGTTAAGTACGGTTTGCCAGCCAGTTGCGAGTCCATCTAGTGGTGGTGCTATCTATTCCATTTTTTTCTAGCTTACCAAGGTTGTGGTAGATTGTGGTCTCCTTTGTCGAATGCCTTGCTGAAATCTTGATTGTGGTCAAAAACTTGCCTGGAAGTGATGTTTCCTCCAGCTATCATTGAAATATATTTCTGATTTCTTTTTTTGATTCTTTGCAGACTCTCCAAGGAACTCCTGCTGGATTCCCAGAAAACTCTGGTCTTCAAAATATGGCATAAAGCAGGTACCCCTGTCACTAATCGGAACTCCTTTGCAACAAGCAATGTCTCACCGTAACATAGCAATCTTTCTTAAACACTGATTGACTGAAAGCTATCTGCCTATCCATCCTTTGCTTGTTGATGTTTATTGTTGCTGGTGTGTAGCTGTAAATGGGTACAGGTAATCCTTGACTTACAACTGACTTTAACTTGACTTTGTCAGAAGATTCCTGTGATGACCGGGGCGTGGCACAAAGGCAACACAGTCAAATAAGCAATCAGAGTCCCTTTATTATCTCCAACTTTGCCCCCAATGTCCAGGTTACCTTCTGGCTGGAGAAAAAACTCTCCCAGGAACAGCCTTTAACTGTAGAAAATTCTGTCCAAAACGAGGAACACACAAACTGTAACTAAAAATCCAAACAAACCAAGCTGAAGTAATTAGCTTGCTTGGGCAGGAGGAGGAATTTCAGACTTGAAAACATGGCAAAGCTCACATAGTTGGGAAGACGCCAGGAACACAGATAAGCCACGACGATACCAGATAAATTCAGGTTTGCTCCCAACAACTTGCTATGCTCAGCTTCCCGTTTTAAACACTTGTGTTCCCAGCTGCAGCTAATGAAGGGAATCAGGGCCCTTTCCTCCCCGTAAGCCAGGCAACCCACGTTGCTCCCTTCTCCGTTCCTACCTGCGTGCCCTAGGATGAAGAGGGTGGGTGGGCCTGGGTCTTCCTCTGAACTCCCTCTCCCTTGTTCTACCTCTCTCCTGCTCTGCCCAGCCGGACTTTGCCCTTCCCCAGTTTCCTCCACAGCCAACAGAGCCACACTCCTGCTCCCTGTCAGCTGCTCAGCCTCCCCCTCCGAGTCACATTCCGACGGGGGCATGACAATTCCTAAGAAGGTTGCAAAGGACAGTCCTGGGACCTTGGGATGCTACACCATCCAACATAAATATATGCCGGTTGCTAAGCACCCAAAAGTATGTTCACATGACTCCTCTGGGGATGCCGCAACAATCATAATAAGTGTGAAAAACTGGTCCTGTGACATTTTTTTCCATGCCGTTGTAACTTTAGAGTCATTAAATGAATGGTCATTAGTCAAGGACTGCCTGCACTGTTAACTGGTCAAGTATTTTGGCTGCCCTGTGTATCTTAACTTGGATTTTTAAAAAATGGTTTTTAGAATGCTTTTAAATCCTTTTCATTGTTTTTTATACTTTGGGAATTGTAAGTCACCCAGAGTTATTGATTGAGATGGGTGGCTATGGGGAAGGAGGGAAGGGGAGGGAGGGAGGGAGGGAGGGAGGGAGGAAGGAAGGAAGGAAGGAAGGAAGGAAGGAAGGAAGGAAGGAAGGAAG